CACACACACACGTACATATGGGACATGACATCTAGGTAGACAGTCTGAATAAAATAGATCAGCAGCTATGTTTTCCTTCTGTGGCACAATATGCACCTAATCCCCCCAAAATTATAAAGTTTACTTTGATTATTATGTATAAAATGCAAAATATCTTATTTTTTTGTAGATTTACTACTTTACTACATAAAGGTCATAAGTTGTCTATCTTGAGTAATTACTGATGGCACGTGCCTTATATATATATCTTACTTATTATAAAACGCAGGTTGTGTGTGTGTCTGTAAGGTTTATATGTTGGATCGAATTTCCTACATTTTTTAGCCGATTTCAACAAAACTTCACAGGACTACATAAAATTACCTTGTGGTGGTTCTAATGGGGCCGAAAATGGGAAAAATACAGTGTTTTTTAATAAAATCAATTTGAAAACACGATTAAGACACATCATTGAGAATGAAAGGGGACAACTCACCCACGAAAATGTAAACAAAAAGAGCATAGCATGATGAAAAAAAGGCGCCGAACTTGACGAAAACAAAATTTTATCGTCTAATTTTCATATTATTATTAAAGAGGAAAGATCAAAGTATTTTGGGGTATTTTTTACATTTTTTAATCGTTCCTAGCATGTCTGAAATTTTCGTAAAAATATTGTTTTCAAAAAAAAAAAGGGCAGATAATCATTTTCAATCATTTTTCGATTTGATAAAAAGATTAAAATCTTACTTTGATATTCTTTTAAAAGTCAATTATCATTTTTCAAAACTGATTTTAATAAAGACTGATATTATACTGTTTATTTAAAATATTTTGAACCAAGCTTAACTTAGCTTCTGCGCCGAAAAAATGTAATTTGAAAATAAAACAAAGCAGGTCATAACCTTTCGCATCGCTTGACGATTGACGAAAGGCACATTCATGACGTTTAGATAACTTACGGGAGGAGAATTCTTTCTACGGATGGAAGGAAGTGAAATTATTTAAGTGAACAAATTATTTACCTTGTTACTTTTAAGGAAAACTTTCAGCGCTCTAATTTTTTTTTTTTTTTTTTTTTTTTTTGTACTTAGCTTTCATTTTTACGTTTATGATGCTTTATGGAAAATATAAAGAAATTAAAAAATAAGACTGTTAATAGTGAGATTAAATTTCATAAGAAAAAGGTATCTAATTAATTTAGGTACCTTTCTTATGAAATTTTATCGAAAATGTACATAAAATACTATAATTTTATGTACATTTATTACATTTTACTGTGTTATTTGTATTTCCATTCATTTTATTATTAATTTTGATATTTCATTTGTGGAAAAATGTCATAACTGAGATTAATATAAAAATAAGATCATATAAATTAAAGTTTAGCAGTAGTTAAATTTCATAAGATGATACTGTTACTTGTAGGTACCCTTCTCAGTTGAAATTGAAAACTCAAATTTACTTCTCCATACGTGTTTTACAAAAAGTAAAAGGGCTTAACAGCGGAGAACAATGCTGAACTCAAATAATGCAACTAAATTGTATTCTGGTTGGTCTTCCGTACTTGATAATTACTGTCCGACTATAAATACAAAATTACATTTCTTAATTACCATGGCTAATCTGATTGGTCCAAATTATACAATTTTCAAAGCGCTAGACAGTGACAATCTCACACGGACATTTTGAAAGGTTGATGTTGCTTTTTAACTAATGTTAAAATATTTTTAAAATTCAATTTAAACATTTTTAAAAATCTTTTAAAATTAAAGAAATAAGAAATAATTATATTAAAAATTCAATTTTCATTGAAAAATTTTTTTTGCTTTTCAGAAAATATTGTCCATATTCATAAAAACAAATTAAAACAAATAAAAGCATTTGAAACTAAATAATATATTTGTTTTATTGAGTTTTGTATGTTACAATTCACAGCTGATTTTCAGGTACGTTGGCCAAAAAAAAAAAAAAAAAAAAAACATGATTTGCATTCTTCAAAGCCTTGTGCTTTTAACTATTGTAATCACTAAAACCAATGGTCTCGAATTTCTAGAGTTTTTCATAAAATTAGTTATGGGGGTGTTAATAAATATAAAAAAATATTTCTGCCATGACTTTTAATAAAAAAAAATATTTATAATAATTTCGATCATCTGTGAATAGTTTCTGAAAGTTTCATTAACATCTGACAATTATTTTTATTTTTGCAAGATTTTCCAAATGAATGTGTAAATACAAAAAAATGCGCTAAAAATTATCTATGTTATTACTACGCTTTGTTGCAACAAAGAGAAACAAGGTTTTTTAAATCAAAATTTAGAATATTCTAAAAAGATGGAAAAATTTTTTAAAAATAATAAAAAAAAAATTTAGTCTATCCTCTTCATAAAAAAATAAGCATTTTGACGATAAAATTTTGTTTTCATAAACTTTGGTGTCTTTTTCATCAGACTATGCTCTATGTTTTAGCGATTCCGTGGAGTGACTTAGGTTAAAAAACCCAGCTTGTTTGTGTGTGTGTTCCTTTATATATGGGATCGGATTTCTTACATTTTCAGCCGATAAAACAAACATCCACTTTTTTTTTCGGCAGGTAGTATTTCTTATTGTCTTGCACACTTTTTTTCTTTATTTACATTCAGAATGCTTTAAAAATTCCATTTACAAGACAATTGTTTATAATAAAATTCTATTCACCAATCGATAGACTCATAACGATTGTAAACAATGTTTTTGTTTGAATTTGGGTTTGACCAATTTGTAAAAAAAAAAAAAAAAAAAAAAATGCGTCAACCTTAAACAATAATCTTTGTCAATTTTATTTTTCAGTCTTTATGATGGTCGATACTTGATCTATCTCTTACTGTAACATCCCGGCAACGCCGGGCTCTACTACTAGTATATATATATATATATATATATATATATATATATATATATATATATATATATATATATATATATATATATAAAATCCAAAATTACCTTATATGTGTATATAGTTTTAATCAGTTGAAATAATCTATTTCCCCCTATGAGGTAATTTTGGATTTTGTTGTATAATGCTTTTTACTGGCTCTGTTATAATATAAATACATTGAGCTCTTTTTGTGGATCAGTTTTAATATTTGATATTATTAGGATTCACTTGGATTATATACCAACCAATTTATAATTTTTACTCAATGTGTGTGTGTATATATATATATATATATATATATATATATACACACACACACGCCATTGTGCAAAGTAATTGAAACAACCAAATTAGTTTTTCTTTCATCATACGGTCAGTTTTAGACCCATTGCAGTGACAGTGTGTAATCAATTTCTATTTTTTCCTCAGATTAGGTCATCTGCAGTGGTATTCAGTAATATGAATCTGTTTTGGGGGTGTATGATGAAATTTGTCTGGCCTTGAAAAATATTGTGTCATCAGTGATGGCATCAGATTTTCATCACACCTAGACACTATTATCCCAACTGTCAATTAGTTGTCCTACAGCCATTGTCTGTGATGGATGTTACTCCAAGGAAGCATATGAAAATTGTAACACTGCACGAACACACTGGCAAGCTTTACAAGTGAGCATATCAAAGTACTATAAACTGGCCCGGAAACTCTCCTGATTTTAAATCCAATCAAGAATCTGTGGTCAATCTGCAAGGAATGACTTTGTAGAATGGACATACAAAGTAGAACTGTATGTATGTGTGTGTGTGTGTATATATATATACACAAAACAAAATTATGCAATTAAATATTTATTCAACTAAATACAGACCATTTTGTTACACAACCTTACTCCATTTTTCCTTCAACTTTGATTCTATCTTCCCAGAATTTTGGTGGTTTCTAGGCAAAGAACTCATTAAGGTGATCTTTTATGCCATCAAATGGATTAAAATTTTTACCATTGAGAGGTTTGGCATTATCTTGATGGAAATCAACACCTTTCCTATTTGCCAATTCTGGACATTTTTCTTGAATTACTGCCTTTAATTCATCCAGTTGCAAGCAGTACTTTTCAGAATCAATTGACTGGTTACTTGACAGAAGCTCATAGTACATGATTCCTTTCCAATCCCACCAAATGCACAGCATGACTTAGGATGAAAACCTGCTTTTGAGGTGGCTAAAGTTGGCTCATGTCGCTTAACTCAGGATCTTTTTCACTGAACATTGTTGTAAACGATCCATTTCTCATCAGCTGTCACAATTTTCTTCAAAAAGGGTGTATCACAGATGAAATATGATCTAAAAGATTCTTTTCACTCAGATCATGTGGTACCCAAACATTGTAGCGATTTGAGTAACCAAGCTTAACTAACTACGTACACAAAAAAGAAACTTATTGGACTGTATTTTCATGAATAAAACCTGAACTATCAATGACTGGACTAAAATGTAGCCTCCATCCAAAAAAGCTAATACTATTATATGGTAGGATTGGGAGGGAACCCTTAACTGTCTTCTATTGAAGAAGTAAATGATTGATTCAAACAAGTACTGTTCCCAATTAAATCAATTGAAGGCAGTAATTAATGAAAAGCATTTCCTTTTTCTTTTTCTATTTTTTCTTTTTTCTTTAATGACCAATTAAAAATTATCGCTTGACTGGGAAATTTTTGTTTATCTGCCATATCCACCAGATGTTGCACCATTGGATTTATTTCCATCTTTAGAAAATTCTCTTAAAAAAAATATCAAAACTTTTAGAAGACTGTAAAAGTCACCTTGAGCAGGGGAGGATGGAATTACGAAGTTGGCTGAAAGATGGCGGATGATATTAAAACAAAATGATAAATATTTTGTTCAATCAAATTAATGCTAAAAAATTTTTTTAATGTCCCAATATGATTTTTTTTTTTTTTTTTGAGAAAATAAGCATGCAGACTTGGTCTGAATTGTTTAAAAAAATCTCGATAACTTTTGAGGGAAATAAAAATAATTGTTTAATTTTTTTTTTTTATTTTCCAGCTAAATAAAAGCAAAGATTTGAGTGCAAAAAACGATGGAGGAACATCCATTTCCAGATTTGAAAATAAGCAACTTTGATTTTCTTGATGACACTGATGCTCGTAGGGTTTGTCCGAAATGCAACAAATCACGCAAATATTTCTGTTATACTTGCTACAAACCGGTAATTGGTACTGAACAGAAAATCCCATGTGTAAAAGTGAGCGCTGTTATTTAAATATTTTTACTTCTTTCATTTATCTCTGTCCTCATCTGTTTTTATGCTTCTTAAAATTGACACATATTTAATATTTTTATGATTCATAGAGTTGCATGTTAAAATCAGAAATCTTAAGACCAATTGTTGTTGGGGACAGCAAGTAGTCTCAAATTTCTAGAAACTTCTGTATTAGTCTTGCTAACCCTAGCACTGCAGTAGTCTCCAATTATTCTAATCTTGCCTCTAGAGGTTTTGGGGATGGCTTCTAATGTGCTAATTAAGTGCATTCTAATCTTTTGTTCTCAAGCAAGGTCTAAATATTTTCCATTTTCATCCCATAACCTTTGCAGAATTTTCATCTTCTGATCCACTGGAACAATCATATTCATAATCTGAAAGAAACTTTGTTGTTTACAACAATCCAATTCAATCTTTTTACTAAGATGCAACGGTCTGTCTGGATGTCAAAATTTTTTTCATGTTTCTTCTCTCATTATTGCATTTAATGCTATTTGGATGTTCACCTTAAACATTTGGTTGTTATCACTGGGGATCAAATTGACAACAGGTTTCCTTTTTATCTTGGAACATTTTACTTCATACCTTCACAGTGGTTGAGACAATTTTAACTCTTTCTTGAATTTCCAATGCTATGCTAATCCCCATTGCAGAAACCTTATTTATTTTTGTTATTATTTATTTATTATTTATTTTTGTTATTATTTATTTATTATTTATTTTTGTTATTATTTATTTTTTCTTTCATATTTGTAACTTCACCATGTTTTAAAAAAAACAATTTTAAAAGTGAATAGATTCTTTTATTCTAATTTATTTTCCAGACTTGCTCCCCACAGTGTTATTTTCAACACAAAGTTTCAGCCGACATATTCTTTAGCATTCCTCAATTTTATCTTTCATCCAAAGATGTGGTTTCAAAGTTGCTTCATTCTTTTTTCTTTCAAGTTAATTATAACTTAACATCCAGTCTTGTGATTCTGTTAGATTGTAGTGTTCTTGCTGAAGTGATGAAAAAAAACTTGTACTAAGTGACTTCTTAAGATCATTGTATGCAATATGCACTTGGGAAGAGCTTAGGAAATGGGCCAAACATTGAAAGGAAATTGAAGACAATTGTTCAGATAATACCATTTGCTAAAATTGATTGGGTGAGTAGCTTTTTATTGCTACTGGTTGGTAGGTTAGTTATGGGGGAGTGATTTACCTAAGTGTTTTCACACACATGCACACACAACCTTTTCTATCAACCACTATGACATACTCTTGTTAAGACATTTTATCAAGATGGGACAGAGCTCAGGGAGAAGTTGTTTCATGCATTTCCTAAAGGAAGAAGTGTGAAGTTCACCAGAATTTAGGTTGATTGATTCCATTTTCAGTTTTAATAACTGTTGTACCACATTTCATCTCCTATCAAATATGGATTGATGAAAACACTTCATCTTAGAACTGGGGTGATCACACGAAGACTGAACAATGTATTGGCCAAAATGTTGCATAAAAAATAACAAAGATGAATATTTTAGTTTAAATAACACTTGCAGTGAAGAAAACACTGGAACTTGAGAAAAAGTACCTTTTAGTATCTTTTTTAATTTTGGCACTTGTGCTTTTGGTATTTTTTTTTTTTTTAAACTGAATTCTCTTTTCTTTTTTTTTTTTTCTTTCTTTAGCTTCCTTTACAAATAGATATTCTACGTCATCCAAGTGAATGCGTTGGTAAGAGCACTGCAAGCCATGCAGCCGTTCTGGCCCCAGACAATGTAACAGTCTATACCTACCCCTGCATTCCAAATTATGATCGAGAAAAGGTAAGTCTGTTGATAAACCATTTCTTTTTAAATGAGTTCTCTTTTAAAAAGTATTTGCTAAGCTTAGTCTGATGTCTACCCAGTGAGGATCAAACTCACTCCTATCAATTATCTGCAAACCAAACCTGCTAAACATCTTTTTATGTCAAGCTCCTCCTAATTTTTCCTAGTTGTAGGAATATACTGTCAGTGACATTTTTTTTTAATGTGGTCCAAAGTACGAAATATGAAAATAATGATTGAATCAGTGCAGAAAAACTGAGTTCAAATTACAGCCAAGTTCACCACACACTAATACCCTTGGGAAAAGAATGACTCCATCTTTTCTCTCTGAGCTATGGATAAATAGCAGGATAGATTGGAGCTTTTTAAGAAGTCATGATAATTTACATATATTAAAGGAGGAAGCTCTAAAGGGACATAACCACCACCTACTTAAAGGGATATGACATTTAAATAATGGCTTGCTTTACGAATGGAGAGAAAATGAACCTGAAAGACCTAGCTATGATTTCTTTTATGTAATTGGCCAGAACTTCTTTATTGTTTGTAATATGTACTATGAATCTCACATTACTGGGAGAGGAAATGGGTGCAGCCCAACAAATTCATTAATTCTAATCCTGCCTATAAATGAGCCTGCATGACATCCTGATGATTTAGATCATGTGATCAACCTAATTGATTGTAGATTAATTTTTAAAATTATTAAATGTAAAAACGACTGTAAAAAAAGCACACATGAAAGTCAAAGTATATTTCATTCAAAAGCATAAAAACGGTGATAAAAATCTGCAAGAAATAAAAATAATTTAGCCCAAGATGATTGACAACACAACATTTGGATTCACTTTGTACATTTAAAGTCTTTGTTAAGATTTGTATTGACAAATTGACTGATTTGAAAACTGAGTTTTTATTTGTATTATTCTCTTCTGAAATAGCTTGGGAATGAAATATGGGTCCTTTCATTAAATATGAATTCAAGAAAAGGGAAACTTTCTTTGAACTTAAATCCTCCATAATTGAAATAAATAACTTTAGACATTTTAACATTTAACAGAGTAGTCATAGAATTTTAACCTTTATTTATTTGTGTGTGTGTGTGTGCGTTTAAACTAGAGCCCACCTGCCTCCACCATAAATGTGGCTTTCAAATCCATTCATGGGCTCGGTCTCTGCCATATTGTTATTAAATAATAGGTGTAAGGAGGCACGGTGGAGTAATGGATAGCGGCTCGGATTGAGGAATCAGAGAGCCAAATTCAAATTACAGTCAAATCCATTACATTCACTTACGTGCTAATATCCTTGGGAAAGTGTATGAATACTTTTCTTCTCTCCACTAGTTATGGGTAAATAGCAGGACAGACCAGGTTTTATATCCTTGTATGGCAACTGGTCTACCACAGAAAGAAATGGCAACCTACTGTGGGGAAAAAAAATCTGCCTCATCAGTCATGTATTGAAAGATACATGATTGCCTTAGCGTGTGTCATGCATGACACATAACTAAACTGAGATAGGTTTGCCTATTGTCTGGTTCACACTCTTCCCCAGTCTTTTGAAAAAAAGCAGAGGTGTATCCTTTGTTTGCTGTTTAAGATTGGGTTTCTGGTCCTTTCTAAAGTCTACTTCAACTCTATACACTAAACATCTCCACCTGAACTGAGATTTTATTTGCTAATTAAATCGTGACTTCTTCAAGTCTACAATTAGCTGTCTATCTTGTTATCTTGCCCTTCCTGATGCAAATTCAACTCCACACAGTGACCCTCTAACTTGAGTTGGCCTTGGATTGGGTGAACATTAGTATAAAAAAAAACAAAAAAACTTTGAATTTGAGTGCATCTTTTTTCTTTTTTTCTTACTATGGCCTGCCATAACAATGTGCTTGAAACTTTTTAAAGTGATGATGTATATAGTGTACTATAGATAGGATTGTTTTAAGGATAAAAAGTTTTTAAAATTCTTCAATACATCAACCTTAATTTTTATTTGTAAATTATTGTTCAATATTTTTCTTACCAGGTTGTTCTTGTTTTTCCTTGTGAGAATTCTCAGTCTCTGGAAGCACTCCAAACTGAATGTGGAGAGAAAGTCATTTCTGCCGATAACCAATCAAAGGGAAATAATGCCGTTGACCCGGATTCTACCAATCAAGAGTTGCCTCCCCTTTCAACACCTACTTCAGATCGCCAATCACAAAAAAGAAAACAGGAAGAACAGACAACAGATGGCACTGTAACCAAACAGCGACGAATTGTGAAAGCTCCTTTCGACCGAGTGATCTTTATTGACAGCACATGGAACCAGACGAACAGGATTTATAAAGATGAAAGGTTGAAAGGTTAGTGGACATTCTGTCTAAAATAAAGATAGGAAATTTATTTGGCTGTCAACCCATTTGCTGAGACCTTACAAGCATTGTTACATTATACAGTAAGCTTCTGTGGTGTGCAATAATAGTTTGTTTCATCCTAAACGTTTATTTTGTTTTAGCTACCTTTAATCTGTATGTATGAAAGTTGGTGTGTGTTATTTTGTAATATAAAAAATGTTACACAATTTTTTAGTTTTCGTTTGTCATGTGATGAAAGATTGTTTAAATTTATGACTGTCTCATGGAACAACTGAAGAATGGATGATCAAAAAGGGCAAAACCTTATTAATAATAGCAAAAGTATATTCCCAACATGAAAATGACGTCAGATGACAGGCAACAATGTTATTACAAAATACAACTGATATTTTTTTCATTTTTTTTCTTAATTTCTAGACTAACTTAAATGTCAGCCTCTCTTGGTAGAATTTGTTGCAGGAATATTTAGTATGCTACTCCTGATATGATAGTGATGTTGAGTAAAAATAAAGGTATTGTGAAAGAACTCTAAAATTTCATTTAGCTGTCAAGCAAGGCCTCTGATCAAGAGATTGAGGTTTTTCTTAATTGCTGCTGTTCCCCAGTTCACCCTAACCCAGAGTGGCAGAACCTGTTAGGGTCCCAGCTATGAGCAAATGGTGAACCCTCAAACAAAAAAACTATGAAATTATAAAAATACCAGCAATACATTTTATCAGAAGTTGAAGCCATACAATTACGTTCAAAATTATATTTAGTTGAAGCCATACAATTACGTTCAAAATTATATTTAGTTGAAGCCATACAATTACGTTCAAAATTATATTTAGTTGAAGCCATACAATTACGTTCAAAATTATATTTAGTTGAAGCCATACAATTACGTTCAAAATTATATTTAGTTGAAGCCATACAATTACGTTCGAAATTATATTTAGTTGAAGCCATACAATTACGTTCGAAATTATATTTAGTTGAAGCCATACAATTACGTTCAAAATTATATTTAGTTGAAGCCATACAATTACGTTCGAAATTATATTTAGTTGAAGCCATAAAATTACATTCGAAATTATATTTAGTTGAAGCCATAAAATTACATTCAAAATATTTAGATTTTGACATTAAATGATGTACGGAGGTTGATATGCTGCTGAATCAACCAATTTAGCTGTCAATGGCTTTGGTAGCTAAGATAGTTGCTACAGAACATAGCAAGCTCTAGTGATAAGGAAATTCAAATCTTATCTAAAGCAACTTTGTTCTGATTTCCTGCCATTCATTAATGTTTTATATTACAGTGTTGTGTTCTGATTATAGATTCTGTATCTGGTGAAAGTTTGTTACTTTGAGGTTGGCTGGCTGACGTTTTCTTCTTTCTTCCACAAATTAACAAGTGTGAAATTGAAATTAAACTGGTTTAAGATGATAAACATTCTTGGCAAATTCATTCAGAAATTACTTATCAATTTACAACCACATATAAAATCTTTTCCACCAGAAATTTTGGCTCTTGTATTATACTACAAAAAGATAAACTATTTGGTTAAGGTGACTGTTACCCACACATCCTTGTTCCCCTTCAGTCTCTCAGAATGGTCTTGCTTTGTTTCTGAAGCCATTGCTTGGAATTTTTATTTTAGCTGACACTTGCTTGTGTGACCTTGTGTTTGAATACCTTAGATAAATATCAACTTGGTACATATCTTGCAGGCTATTTGGTAGTATAGTGGACTGAATCCTCAGTGTACCAGACAAATATAATCATCTAGGGCATTTTATGCAGACCAATGTTACGTTTGCTAGTGGAATGGGACATTCGTTGTGTGTGTCATTGACCCTTGACCCTTTTGTCTACCACTGGTGAGATTTTGGCAGGAGTAAATTGGTAAAATGAATATGTTCAGTTTTTCTTCAAAACATTGAGAGTGTTGTTAATATCTATTTTTTTGACTAACCTTCTCTGTTATTGAACAGTCATATGAGAACCCTAACCCTCTAGGGTTATAGGGGCACCACATGTACTGCAGTAGCAGTGGTGTTTTCTGGGTAAGATACCCCGATGGAGCTCAACCCTGATACCTGATGAAAAAATGAAAAGAATAAATAAAAATGTCATAGTGGCTAATAACATGAAAGTAAATTAATTTTACAACTGATAAAAATTTAATCTTTCACCAAAATTTTGTTTCTGAGTCTAGTTAATTATGTTAGAATTTTTTTTCAATCATGTGTTTAGTAACAAAACCATTGAGAGAAAATACTCATCAAAGTTAATGATCTTCATTATTTTATCAAAGGAATGTTTCTGGTTTCATTGTGTGTGTGTGTGTGTACACATTTAAAATGAAAAGTGAAAAATTACATTATCGAAATTCAACTGACATATTGACTAGAAGTCACAACATATGCACAACTGCAAATACACATTGGTTTTAATATGCTCTTCATGAAAATATGGAAAATAATTACTCTTTATTTTCTTGATACATTTTCTGGAGACAGACATTCTGTGTGCTCAAGTAAACATTTGTTCTTTAAATTCCTTTTTTCAATTCTTTCTTTGGTTCTAATTATGACATAGATGAGAAACTTAACACTGCACAAATGCATTTATTGTTATGAAGTTTTACTATTTCCCATTGAAGAGGATACATTGCAAAGGATATTTTACTTGCTGGCAATTAAACAAGAACCAACCAACCAACTAATCAACCAAAATAGTGTGAACAAATAACAAAAGAAAATTGAGGAACAACAAAAAAGTAACTACTTGGAATTCAGTTTTCTCCTTCAAAATTCTTGTCACTCAAATACATGAGAAAATATCACTTATTACAAACAAAGAATGGAAAAGAATCTTAAGAATTTATTGAGAGATTTTATTCCTTTTGGTAATGTTATTCCTTTTGGAGAATAATTTTGTATTGCACTTTTCATTTTGTTTTTAGGCATTCGTTGTGTGGAGCTGAAAACAAGGACAACAAAATTTTGGCGACATCAACACGACAAGCCGGAAACTTACCTGAGCACAATTGAAGCTATTTATTATTTCTTGATAGATTACCATGAACTCTTTTTATGCGATGATTACAATGGACAATATGACAATCTGTTGTTTTTCTTCTGTTTTATGTATCACAAGATTCGTGGCCTCTACAATGGAGGCCACCATCTTTTGGCTTACAAGTCCAAAGACAAGATAGATATTGCAAATAAAAACAAAAATTCCTGAATTTTAAAATGGTTTGGTTTTACTTTTTCTTTTTTTTTTAATTCACATACTTTTCCCCTCTTTTGTGTGTGAAGGGGGATAAGGAGATGAATGGTTGATTTACGAAATCTATTAAATATCAATTTAACTGTATATTTTTTTAATATTTTCTACCTTTTTTTTCTGTAACCATTAATTGTCTCTCCTATTTTTTATGACACTCTTAATACATTGTATACACATAGATGAAGTTTTTACAAACTTATTAAAGTTTATGGAAGACAAAATTTGAGATTTGATAAAAACTACTAATTTTACCTGATTGATATGTGAATTCAGCCAAATTTAGCTACAGAATGACTAATTTATTGATTACTTCCACCTTGGGTAGTTGAGAGTAAATATGAAAATGGCAGATGTTGGCCTATAAAGTAAAATCACTTGTGTCAATCAACACCTGATTTTTATCTCTATTTCTCATTGTATATAGCAATTGTGAATATTTACAAAGCCATTGTTTGGTCTCTGTAAACAGTCAACAAGCATTAATGAATGTCAATGGGTGCAGTATTCTGCTACATAATGCTTCCTATGCACTTTCATATTAGAAGTAATTTTGTCAAATTGCCATTCGGCTGTTATTTAAGACAAATAAAAATATGGGTTCTTGGCAGGTGCCATACAACCAATATCTACCTTTGATGTGAACTAACATAATAAAATAAGAGACATTCTTAACTTTAACAGAGTTTTTTAAAAAAATTCAAAACAACATTGTGTCTGAATTTCTAGGATGATTTATTTTTATTCGCACCAATGTTCTCAGTTTTGTAATAACAACAACAAAAATGAGGATAACTGTCCAAGTGTAAATAATTTAAATAATATTTGAATAAAATGAAATATAATTTATGTAATAAGAGTAAAAACGAAAAAAGATTTTTTTTTTCCTTTTTTTATTCAGTATTTAATATTCTTTTTCATGTTTTGTTTTTGGCATAAGATCTTTTCCAAACATTACCATTTCCAAGACAATAAAGATGGAATTGTTTCATCACAAAAGTTTAAAGAATTTATTGGCAACACCAAGGCAGTTTTCAAAACACAAGGAGCCATTTTTTATGTGCTGAAACTTATCGACAGACAGAAAAACAAAAATTGTACTTCATTTTCAAGTCAACTACAAATAAAAACAATTAAGAAGAACGAAAGTTTCCAAAAATTATTACCCTATTTATTTTTTATTTGTAACAAAAAAAATGGAGCAAACGTTTATAATAATTTTGTTTCATTTAAAAAAAACAGAAAACGGTGGGGGTTTCATGTTACATCCACAAAATTATTGATAAATACTTCTCCAGATTTGTTTTTAAGATCTCATGATATTTAAGCAAACATCTCCATCTTTGCTGATTTTATCACAATATTTAAACTGGCATTTTATCTGAACAGTTTTTTTTTTTTAAATTTTATTTTTATACCAACATTACTGCATTTCCTTGTCACACAGACCATCATTACTGTGTACTGAGTTGGATCCTTGCTGGGTGTCCTGTTGTCTGGCCATGAATAAGCAAAACTTAGTAAATCTTAAATGTGTTGACTTCTCAGAAAATGTTTGGGTTCAACAAAGATTTATTAAGTTGTCTGTTGTATTCAACAAAAAATGTTTCAAAGTAAGGTTGCTGCCCAAATATACATATTTTTTATATATATATATATATATATATATATATATATATATATACAAAATTCAGATTGCTTTTATGTTATACAATTTTGATAAAATACATTTGGATATTTTAAAGAAAAGTTTGATAATTGAGAGAAATATTCAAACAGGTATCTACATCTTTGTTGTTTTGATCATTATACTTTGACAAATACCTTAGACTGAAAACAGATTTCCTAGTGTTGTCTGAAGTTCTGAGAAGTCAACATTTTCATTGATTTTTGATACTAGTAACTTAATCTTTGTTTCAATCACATTTTGGTCAACTTCCTTTCTATATTTGATTATTCATCTGTTTTCTTTATAATATATATACTTTATGGAATTCAAGTGAAAAAAAGATCTGTTTCATTTTTTATTTAAAAATTTATTTTAAAAAAATTAAAAGGGACCTTCTCAATGAAATTCAATAAAACATACTTAGATGAATTCTTGCTGCCACTATATATATATATATATATATATATATAAAATGTAGGTTAGCTGCAGTCAAGCTTATAGTCATTTTAAACTCCATGATCTTGTTGATGACTGCATAGTATATGCTATGCCAGGGTTACAGTTTTGAATTCAGAGTTGTCCTAGAATGGTTGCCAAGCATAGCTAGACAGCTTAGTCTATCCTACTATTTAAATCAGATGTAATGAACTTGGTTGAAATTTGAACTCATCCTGTGCTGCTAATTATTACACTATTTGCACATCATTATCAGAATCCATTTAAACACACACAAAAACTTACCAAACTCTATCTGAAACATACTAGTAGAAAATACAAACATAATAACCTCATCCAACTGTAAGAAAAGATTAAAAATAATGGAAGCCTTAATAATAATAAAGAAAAATCAACACTTAATAATATTAACTACGAACATGGCCACAATGTGCTGTGTTCACAAATAAACATCTCTATAACACTAAAAACATACACACCCAATTAAATTGCAAAAATAAAATCATCCTGTATAATGGCTAAAAGTATAGCTGAAAGTGCTCAGAATTATAGAACATTTGGATAGTTTCTACATATTCTGTTTCCCAAAAAGAAAATACTAGTTCAAACACAAGAAAAATTAAATAAAAAGCTTAATCATAGTACCTTGTCTATCTTTAATGAAACGTCTGTCTATATATATATATATATATATATATATATATATATATAAAAGGCTCAAACACTAATATTCCATGGTTATAATTTATTACATTGGAAAGGTAATCACGATCCAATTCATCAGACCTACAAATTCAAATATATATTGACCACTAATATTATCAATCTCTCTCTCTCTCTATATATATATATATATAGAGAGAGAGAGAAAGAAAGAAATGGTGCGATGGGTAAATTGTCGTAATCTTATATTTTTAATTTTGTGTATTGTTTGTTTCTGATTTTGTTGACTGCACAGTATAATAGGGTCAGTTGAGCACCATCTGTGAGAAAAAGAGCATGATGTAATTCCCTCTGCCAGAAATTTTGAAATGGCATGCTGTATTGCTTGGCATTTGTGCCGGAAGCTCCATTACAAACATTTTAGAGTTTTTAGGTGTCAATCTGAGGACAGAGCAGAGGATTTGGAAAAAGAATGCGCTGGGTCATGATGGTGGCTGCTGGAAGATCCTATGTCTGGCAACAGGTTCTCTGCACCATGCCACACAAGCAGGAGAATCCATGGCTATCAGACAATTTCTGCAACCACATCACCCCTTACATCTGGCCACCTACCTCCCCCAGACTCTAATCCCTTTGATTATTATGTGCTGGATGCAGTGGAGTGAGATACCAACAAAATTTCTTGTAACACCAAAAATGAACTGAAGGCAAGGATTATGGCAGCATTCACTAACTTAATCAAGGAAACCATCCATAAGTGTTGCTGGAGATTCTGAAGTCGTCTGGAGGCCATGGTTGAAGCCAATGGTAATTTTATTGAATAAATTTACTCTTTAGTATTTCAAGATATTTTTGTACAATTTTAGTAAATATATTTAAGATGAAATTTGAGTATTTTCATTTTTGTATAATTTCAATGACAATTTATTCCTCAGACCCTGTGTGTGTATGTATATATATATATAATGTATGTTTCAAGGTATACTATTTTTATGAGTAAGAGTGCTTAATATCCAGGATAGTGTGTGCAAATATAAGAGTATAGACACTGAGGCTAGTCAGTAGCTCAACTATTTCTATATTTCCAGTATATTATTTTAACACAAAGTAGAAATTACTGACCTTACTACCCATAATGCCCCAATGACAAGCATATATGAATAGTCAAGCTATTATCCAAGATGGCCTGAAGATTGCATGAAAAAGACTGTTGCTACTTGGTGTTGACCTCCTGTTTCTGTTTGTCATATTCAAACTGATTATTTATTTGAAATTATTCAATCCTACATTTGATTTAACTATTTTATATTATTGAATTTCAGCAGCTATCAAAGCTGTTTGATACTAAAATTGTGATTAATTTAATTATTGTGTATTTATAATTTTATAAAAGTATTTATGTAGAAAAATCCTCAGACCTTGATGGCCAGTATTACATGAAACTCTGGAGTTGGTCAAGAGAAAAGTTGCTTGGACATTTAATTAATTGACCATTGTTGGTCTAGTTATCTATTGATAGAATATTATCACCTTAAACATTATTTTTAGTGTCTACTCATATTTGAGTAGATGCTCTGTTTATTTTTTAAGCACTATATTTATTTTTGTCTACCAGCCTGAATATCCAGGAAATCTTATTAAGGAAAAATATGTGGATTCAAACCTGCATCTGATGTGCCTTAACCGACCCAGGTATGAAGAAGTTTTCCCGATCAAGTAAGATCTGAACAATACCTTTAATCTATGATGAGAAAGATTTTGCTTAAAGGTAATTTTCAGACCTTGCTTGATTGGCAAAGCTATTTCATGGCTTGGTTGGTTATGGTTGTGGCACATCGGATTTAACAAGTTTCCCTCTTCCCATGGGGATGTGGGTTCAAATCCTGCCAGAGAACATATATTTTTCTTCAATAAGATTTTTCAAATATTTAGGCCAGTAAACAAAAATAAATATATTGTTTAATAAATAAACAGAGCATCTACTCAAATATGTTTATCCACTAACATATAAAGTGAGATATATATATATATATATAATATTGCACTTTGAGTGCTGGTGTTAATAAAATAGTGCTTGATGTAATATAACAGAGCTATAAATTATATATTAATATATTTATTTTTTTCCTCACTCATAGTACAATTCAAAGTTTAATTCACCCCCTGAAGA